GATGGACACTGGGAAGAGGTAACTATGGGGAGGAAGTGGGAGGGGAGCTGTTGCATTGTGGTAAACTGTGGTCAATGTCATGAGACAAAGTATACGTAAACTGCTATATGGAAAGTGAATTTGCTCTGTAAATCTTCACCCAAATCACAATAATAAAGAAAGAACTAAGAACGTGGGATTCATCAGACTCTCAATAGGATATATTCTCTTGATGAGGAGCCGAGGTCATCAGATTCTGGTTTTATCTTAGGTTTTCATAGCTTCTGTGAAGCTTAAGATCTGAAATGAAGGAAGTAGTGACGTGGCCCTAGCGGTTCGGGAAGGCAGCCCTTTCTAGTTTCTCAGGTGCTCCTGCAGCGTCAGCCCCGGTAGGCTTCGGTGTAACCGATGCCAAGATTAATCTAGCCACTGACAGCTTATTAGACGCTCAAGTTGGTCTCAACAGGGGGATCTGCCACCTCGACCCGAACATCATCTAAAGCTAATATACGTTTCACGTTCTTCCAATCAAAGTTCCTCAGGAGAGGGCTCAAAAGGCTAAAGCCAACCGCAAAGCGTCTACTTTATTGTTGTCCCGCCCTCCCCTCCCAGCATCTAATTGGTGAGTTTCAAACACGCGGGAGCCAATGAAAGTGGATGGACGTCCTGCTCGCCGCGCTTGACCCAAGCGCGGCCTTTGAAGAAAAACTGTCGCTGAATAATCATGGTGGGGCCAGGACCAGGTGCCGCAGCTGCAGCCGCTGTCGGTGAGTGCGACCAGAGAGCTCTTGTCTCTTGCAGGCGTTAGAAAAAGGGTGGGGAAGAAAAGAGGCCATTGAGTTATTTCCACGGAAGTTGTCCGTCCGCTTGTTCTCCTACCTGCCTCAGTATCCCCTGCGACGTTTCCGGTCCGGGATCCAAGCCCCCTTCTGTAGCCCCAGCACTGCGGTCGGAGCGCTGACCGGGCCGGACCCGCCCAGGGAGCCACAATCGGAGACTGCACTTTCCTGAGCGCTGACAGGAGCTGCGGGCTCCAGCCTCCAGTGAGATGTTTGAGCCTGGGGTGGGGTAGAGGCAGTGCGCGGGGTCAGAAACCTCACAAGTATCTTCCCAGTAAGTCCTGCAGTAGTCTTGCAAAAAGATGTCATTGCCACCACCTGTTAGATAAAGACCCTGAGACCCCTTGCCCAGTGTTATACAACCAATAGGAAGCAAAGCGCTCCTTCGAACCAGATCTGTTCTAGGCAGAGCCATGGTAAGGTCCTTTGTGCCGGTGCCTCGCGGCCTGAGCCCTTGACAGATTTCAAGAGGCGTGTCTGTCCAGAACCTGAGTTTCCTGCCTCCAGCGCGGTACTCTTTCCTCTGCACTTCTTGAGCCTGCTGCAAACTGGAAGTTGACTGGTTAACTGCACAGCTAGCAATCCTAAATTTCCTGACCTCTCATATGTGCCTCCTGCTCAGATGTCATCTTCTCCAAAATGCACATTGTGTTTTGATCGTTTCTGTAATAACTGTTGATTGTCTACTAGGTGTTAGGCACTGAACTAGTCATTATACATAACAATCCCCAAAGACAGGCATTTCAGTCCCCATTTTATATGCTCTGTGGCAGCAAGGTTTACTAACTTGCCAGAAGGCACGGGGCTGGGATTCCTACTCAGTCTGTCAGACTTCTCCTCCCCTGCTCTCTACTGCTGCCTTGCTAGGACCTAAAATACTGCATATCTTCCTGTCTCATGTGGGTGCATCAGAATCAGATCTCAAAATACAGGGCAACTCCACTCACATAAGATCAGGAGTAGTTTTGCATCCCAATAGTTGTTTGGTTTTTTAGACTATTACTTAGTGTTAACCTTTTCCAACTGCCTGTTCCTCTTACCCAGTCCCCACCTCTGAACTCCCATAAGGCTTTCTTTGCCCCTCACTTATGGCATCTAGATTTTGCCTTATTTTATCATTACTGTTCTGTTTATTTTATCTCTACTACTACGTTGAAACTTCTTGAAGGCAGAAATCTTGACTTTCCATCTACTCCCAAATGCCTTGCCTAGGATGTCACCATATAAATGTTTGCCATGAACCCTCTAACCTGGTCTATTTTGTTCTTAGTCCCAGAGGAAACCATGTAAGAGTTTGTAAATAAAATTCATCATTCCTGTCAGAAGAATAAATAAGACCAAACCTGGGTCACCATCTCAAGTGGGACAATAGGGGACAGTAACAATTTCCTCATGCAAAGCATAGCATGTTACAGAGAACAGTAGCTGTTGGCAGCTTCTTTGGGGTTGGACAAAATCAGTTTCAAATCCTGGCTTTGCCACATGTGAGCTGGGCAGTGTTGTGTCAGTTATTTACCTTCACTGTGTTTCAGACTGTAAGATATTTGATAAGAGTTGTTGTGAGGGTTCAGTAATGTCTGTGTAAAGGGCATAGTATAAGGCCTGGCATGTAAATACTCAATAAATGATATTGTTTATGTTGATACTAATTTGAAGGCAAATTTACAGGATTAGGGGACTTTATAACATCATGATTCAAAATCAAAATTATTATAGGAAAGTGTCATCTTTAACAATATAAATGAACTGGTTAAAATCACAAGCTAAAATTCTGTTGTTTGTTTCTTACCTGTTTTGCAGAGGAGAGGCAGAGAAAGCTCCAGGAGTACCTAGCAGCCAAGGGAAAGCTGAAATGCCAAAACACCAAGTGAGTTTGTCTACTCATTGTTGTTGTTGTTGTTATGTGCCGTCAAGTCAGACTCAACTCATAGTGACCCCTCCTTGGGTTTCCGAGGCAGTATCACTACGGAAGTAGATTGCCCCATCTTCCTTCCGAGGAGTGGCTGGTGGCTTTGAACCGCCAGCCTTCTGGTTAGCAGTCAAGTGCCTTAGCCACTATGCTACCATTATAAAACCAAAAACCAGACCCACTGCCATCAAGTCAATTCTGACTCATAGCAACTCCCATTGGATTTCCAAGGCAGTAAATCTTTATGGAAGTAGATTGCCCACTCTTGCTTCTGCAGAATGGCTGATGGGTTTGAACCACCAACCATCTGGCTAGCAATCAAATGCCTTAGATACCATGCTACCAGAGCGCCTTATTCTTTGTTAAGCTTTTCTAAACATAGCTCTTTTGCTTTCAGTCTACTCTGACTGCATCAGTCCAGACATGGCAAAAGTCGCTGCACAGTGCCTAGTCCATTTAAACATTGTGATAGATCCCAAAGGAAGGAGGGAAGAGTCTACAATATTACTTAGCCTTCCTGGAAGCTTTTTCTGTTCCTCTTTTTTGTCCTTGGGAAAGTAATTCTTGTGAAGGCACTTTGGGTCAAGGGGTTGAATGGCCCTGATTCTAGTGTTTCTTCCTTGGACGGGAGAGACAGTTACAATCAGCCCTCGGTAGCAACATGCCAGCATCCTCAGACTGACAGTGGTCTTTGCTCATTCTCTTAGCACCTACTCTTGAGGTAGCCAGAATGTGACCACTTCCTTTTATCTTTTATTAACATATTCCCATCTTGATGGAGTTACTTATCTCTCTTGCTTAGCACTGATATATTCTCCTCTCTAAATTTTTATTTGAAAATTATTTTTTACAACATTTAGCTTCTTTTTCTTCCCCTGAGTTTTAAATCAACTCTGTTTCCTTGATTAAATTTATACTATTCATTTATTCAACAAATATTTACTTAGTACCTGCAAAAGGAGCCCTGGTGGCACAATGATTAAGCACTGGGCTGCTAACTGAAAAGTCCACAGTTCAAATCCATCAGCCACTCTACAGGAAAAAGATGTGGCAATCTTCTTCCATAAAGATTTACGCCTTGAAAACCCTATGGGGCAGTTCTACTCTGTCCTATAAAGTTGCTATAAATTGGAATCAACTTGAGAGCCCACAACACCAACCTACAATGTGTAAGTCACTCTTGATGCTGCAGATATGATTAACAAGATAAAAAGATCCCCACCCTCCCAGGGCTTACATTCTAGATGGAAGAGACAAACAACAAACAGGACCTGACCAAAATCTCTGATGGTCTGGAAATTGTTTTTGGTCCATAGGGATTGAATCCTTTGAAATTTTTCTCTGCTTTTTTTTTTCTTTACCCTTTTTTGTATTTTCTGTCTAACTGGATTTCATAGGTATTCCTGATTTTTTGATTATACTTTTTTCCCCCTGAAAATTCACTGTTTGAAGACACTTAAACCAAGGAATTTTTTTAACTAAGCAGTTAATTATCTTATTTGGCACTGTATCTCCAGTGCCTGGTACATCACTATATTCAGGGAGTGATGACTGATGGAATAAGACTATGCAAATATGAAGGAAACATATTTCATCAATATGGTTAGAATGCTATATTTATGCATAGGCTATCTCTGAAAGGAAAATGAGTAATAGCAGTTGTGGTCTCTGAGGAAGGAAATAAAGGGGCTAAGGGAAAAATGATAAGGAGACTTTTTATTGAATATAATTCTGAATTATTTTATCACATACAGAAATTCTAATAATTTTAAATTCTAATTATAATCATTTTAATCATCACTATACTTCCCAAGCCTTGCTGAATTCTTCTGTACTAAGAATAATTTCATTTTGTCTTTTGTAGGCCTTATCTAAAAGCCAACAATAGTCGCCCAAATCCTGCACCTTCTAAATCCGTGAGTAGAAACTAATCTTTTAAGAAATATACATTTTGAAAATAATAAAAATGTTAGCAACCTAAAGATAATGTATTGCATAGATATTTCTCATAAATATAAGAGCAGTTTTGTTTAATAAGAGAATCTGTTTTGGAAAAGTGCAACATATTATAGTTTAGTTTTGTAAACCAAAAAAAAACTTGAGTAGACTTTGCTCCTCTTAATACCTAACATTTATTGACTACTTACTATATGCCTAACACTTTTTTTGACTTGCATTAGCTCATTGAGACCTCAAACCACCTTATGAGATAGGTACGATTAGTATCCTCATTTTACAGGTGAGGGAACTGAGTCACAGAAAGGTTCCCAAAGTCACATAGCTATTAAGTGACACAGCTGAGAGCCTGTGTTCTTAACCACTTTGTTATTCTGCCACAAGTAGCTCAGTAGTCATTAAAAGAAAATAGCTATGTTAGGTCTTCTAAGCTTTTTAACAAGCATATGCTTCCTGACCAGTTCAGTTCAGCTGGATTGTGAATAGAATGCTAAAGCATCCTAAAATACTTCAGATTTTAAGTTGCAGAAAGTAGCCTTCTGAAACGGGCACAAATTCTTTATCTGCAATAACATAATCTTTTTAAAGTCCCACATTTAATTTTTAAAATCATAGTTTTATCTAAGTTCTAAACTATACCTGAAATAGAGTTCCCCAAAATGGTAAAAATTTTAGTAAATTTTCATGACTCAGTCATTATTCATACCAACTCAAAGCAAACAACATATATATCCCTTTTCAAACATATGACATCACTAGACACTGTGGAAGATAGACAAAATTGGTCTGTGATGTAAACAGTTGGTTGGAAAGCACGAGGTTAGATTTTTGCTTTATGCAGATTGAACCAATGTAGGATGAAAGTATTAAAGGAAAACTCTGAGGGGAAGTTGCCCTCATTCAGATACCTAAAGCTTCAGTAGAAGCTGACGGTACTGACTTCAGTAAATCATCTCTTAAATAGGGGTGATATTTACCTTATCTACTTTTCCATAGTTGTTGTGTTGTTGTTATGTGCTATCGAGTCGGACCCGACTCATAGCGACCCCTCCTTGGGTTTCCGAGACAGTATCACTACGGGAGAAGATTGCCCCATCTTTCTTCCGAGGAGTGGCTGGTGGGTTTGAACCGCCAGCCTTCTGGTTAGCAGTCAAGTGCCTTAGGCACTACGCTACCAGAGGGAAAAGAATTATGGAACTTAGGAGAAGTTAAAAGCACTTTGCAAATAATACTTATCCTTACAACTGGATAATGCTTTATAATGTATAAAACACTTGATACATAAAAATAATAGCTAACATTTAAGTGCTTATTATTCAAATACTGGGCAAGACAGTTTACATACAGTATCTCAATATGCTAAACAACCCTATAGGAAGAGTGGCCATATGATTTAATGTCCAAACCAGGACAACTTTGAGAGTGAAAAGGGAAGCTGTTAATTATGTTGGGTGAATAGCCATAAATCAAACTATCTTGGAAAAACCAGGATGTATGACAGTTTTCTGCAAGATAGATAGCATTATTATTATTATTCCTATTAACAAATGAGAGGACTGAGGCCCAGAGAAATTAAGTACTTGGCCAAACTTAGATAACCAGTATATTGGAACAAAGAACTTAAAGCTTTTCCAGAGTACCCTTACTGCAGTGTTACTACCCAAAGGAACACACAAAATTTCTTATTCTCTGTTCCTATCCAGGAGTTTTTAATAATGTCCAATATGCTAGCCAGCACTTGTGTGTCAATTCAGTTTGTTATACTGCATTGGCTTGCGTGTTGCTGTGAGGCTGGAAGTTATGCCACCAATATTTCTAGTACCAACAGGGTCATCCATGGTGGACAGGTTTCAGAGGAGCTTCCAGACTAAGACAGACTGGGGCCATCCACTTCTGAAAAAATTAGCCACTGAAAAACCTTATAAACATCAGTGAAATACTCTGATAAATTATTGGAAAACTGTATGGTACAGGACCGGGAAGTGTTCCATTCTGTTGTACATAGGGTCACTATGAGTCAGAGACAACTTTAGGGCACCTAACAACAACAACAACATAGTAATGGAAGATGGCATAGGACAGGGCAGCATTTCATTCTATTATACATAAGACTGTAATGAATCAGAGCCGGTTTAATAGCAACTAACAACATTCCAGAAGTTTTGATGTATTTAACTAAGATTTGAAAAGATTGCTTGGAGCCGTGTTCTTAAATTGACAAGCAGTAGTGTGTAATAGTTAAGAACTGCTTGGATCCAGATCTTAACCCCTTCATTGTCCAGCTAAGTGCGCTGAGTCAAGTGCCTTAACTTTATCTGTAAAATGAGAATAATAGTAGGAGACATCTTATAGAGTTGTTTAAAAGGATTAATTGAGGATTACTTAATATATATTAGAAATGAACTTAAAATATCTATGAATTGGTGCGTGTGATCCCTGTAGGTACATAAAGTATCTCAAACGGGTACATAAGCACCCAGTTTAACAGAATCAATTTCTGGATCTTCAACTTCCATGTGTGCTTTTACCTAAAATTGACTTGTTGGAGAATGTCACTCACATGTAGTATCCACTTTCCTACCTTCCTTGAACTATTGTCCTCCTTCTACTTTTTTTTTTTTTAATTGTGATTTGGGTGAGTTTATAGAACAAATTCATTTTCCTTTCAACAGTTCACACATTTTGTTTCATGACACTGATTACAATGCCCTATGGTTACCTTTTCCCTGTGCCCTTCCTTCCTATGCATTCCTGCCCTCTGACCTGTCTTCCTATGCATATGCTGCCCTTCTGAACTCCCATGGTTGATTGTTCTAAGAAGTATGCCTATCTGGTATAAATGTTCACCTTATAGGCCTATCCATTTTCTGGCTGGAAGCCATGAGAGTAAGTTCAATTCCAGACCCAAAGGGTGACTAGGGACCATAGTCTCAGGGGTTTTATCAGTCTCTATCAGACCAGTAAGCTTGGTCTCTTTATGATTTTGTGTTTTGTTCCACATTTTTCTCCCACTCTAAACAGAATGTTCCACTTTGATCCCTCTCCAAGTGGTTGACAGGGATAACTGGGCACCATCTAGTTCTCCTGGTCTCTGGGTCATGTAGGGTGAGATTGGCATGGTCCACTAGTCCCTTGGACTAGTTATTTCCACGCATCTTTGATTTTCTTCATTCAACTTTGCTCTGGACAAAGGGAGACCAATTGTTGCATCTAGATGGCTGTTTGCAAGCTTTTAAGACCCCAGTCACTACTCACCTAAATAAGATGTAGAACAGTGTTTTTGTGTAAAATTTTATGCCAGTTGAGCTTGATGTCACCTGCAACCATGGTTCAGAGACTGCTGGCCCAGCAACTCACTCCCTCAAGGTGTTTGGCTGTGGCTAAGAAATTAGAATAACTTTGCCCCATTAGCTCCATTATTTATATAGACATTCTTATGTTGTTGTTGTTATGTGCCGTCGAGTCGGACTTATAGCACACACAAATATGTATGTAGTAACATTGTCCACCAAACTTATATACAGTCATGGATATATTCCCTTTACTTCTTCCATTTTTTAATTCTTTTTTTCTTCTGCTTGTCTTAGGCATACCACTCACTCATCCCATCCCTATCTTAATATAATATTTTGCCCTGGGGTGGAAATACCTCTAGGGTGCAAAATCAAGGGACAGTTTGAAATACTGGTGTTGACACTGAGAAGGCAAATGACTTTGGTCACCGAGTAATAAATCTTATTTTAAAAGAAAGGAAAAGGAATAAAATTGATGCAGAACTCTAACTCATTCTAGCAACAAATGATAGTCTTCCACTGAATGCATGAATTCGTTGAGAGTGGGAATGCTCTAAACAACTCATGAAGAGAGATATTTCTGTTTCTTTATGGAAAAAAATTTGCTTTTTGTGTTTAATAATTGTTGATCATAATTGGTAATATTTATCTTGTTTTGCTGAATTATTTTTAGTCATAGAAAATAAAAATTAAAATAAATTTACATACATACACATGTTGAGAAGTATGGTAGGGTAATGAATAATAAACTTCCAAGCATAAAAAGCTAGGATAAAAATTATGTGGTTGAAAAAGTAAAGTAAATTATATGGTTGAACTGGAATAAAAATATATCAAAGAGAAAAGGGAATGGTGTTATATTTTCAATTATAAAGAAAAGCATATTGTATACTTTTTAAAAAAATGGATTATAATGGGTACCAAATTTCATTTTCTCTTGAAGTGCCAATATTTACAATGTGCCTGAAATTTCACCTTTTACAGCTATTAAACTAACAATGAAAAACTGTTAAATATTAACTTTTAAAAGTATGGAAGGTTCTATATGACTATGAGACCAGAAGAACTAGATGGTGCCCGGCTACCACTGTCATCCACTTGGAAGGGGATCTACGTAGGAGATCCTTGATAGAGAGGGAGAACAATGTGGAACAAAACTCAAAATCATTTGGAGAAAAAAAAAGGGGGGGGTGACCAGATTGGCTGGTCCAGTAGAGCCTGGTAGAACCACTGAGACTATAGCCCCTAGCTGCCTTTCAGGTCTGGAATTGAACCCACACCTGTGCTTTCCAGCCAAACAAAAGATAGGCATATGAGTTGAACATTTACCTCAGGTAGATACACTCCTTGGAGAGAACAATCATGAGAGAAAGAAGGGCTGTTTATGCACAGGCAGACAGCTCAGGGGACAGGAGTGCATGGAGAGATGGACACAGGGAAGAGGTAACTATGG